AGCATGTGGTTGGGAGGGCAGCCCTGCCTTAGCCTGAGGTTGGGAGGGCAGCCCTCCCTGGCTGGAGGGCTGATCCAGATCAGGTTGGGATCAGCTTCTGCACAGGGGACCAGCAAGAACTGGGCCTGGAGTGCTGGAAGGTGGCAGAGAGTGTTTTCCATGGGAGCGAGGGAACAGGAGAGGTGGGAGTGGGGAAAGCTTTTGTCTGAGAGTAGAAATCCTGAGCCTTTGGTGCAGTGGAACAGGAACTTTTGCTCAGAGCCTTTGTGTTTCTTGTCTTAGGAATGGGCATGCTCTGCTGGCATTCATGTTCTCTCGACAGGAGGGCAAGCTAAACCGCCAGCAGACCATGGAGCTTGGCCACCACATCCTCAAGGCACACATTTTCAAGGTAAGGCACACATTTTCAAGGTGAGATGCACACCAGTAATCAGAAGGGTTTCTTTGTCGTTGTTGTTGTCAGTTTTAATTTTTTTGGTTTTGAACATTTTTGAAAACTTCATCAGCCATTATTCCAGAAGCCTCCCCATGACCCTTCCGTCCTCCCTGGAAGTAACTACTATGCTGACTTCTATCATAATCACTTCCTTGCATTTCTTTATAGTTTATCACTTAATTGTGTGTCTAAGTGCTATGGTTAAGTATTATTTTTCCCCCTTTTAAATCTCCTTTAAGTTTCTTTTAATCTAAAGATTACACTTCATTTTTTTTTTTAGTAGTAAATATCTATGAAACAAATATTTGACATTTCAACAGTCTTCACATGTACAGTTCAGTGGCATTAATCGTGCTTATCATGTTGTTCAACCACCACCCTTATCCTTATACATCCCCCTAAACAGAAGTTCGGTATTCCCTAAGCATTGAGTCTCACTTTCCCCTTCCCTTCTGCCAACCCCTGGTAACCTCTAATAAACTTCTGTCTGTGTGCATTCATTTATTCTAGATAATTTCATATAAGTGGGAGCATATAATATTTGTCCTTTTGTGCCTGACTTATTTCACTCAGCATAATTTTTCAAGGTTCATCCATGTTGTAGCGTGTATCAAGACTTCATTTCTCTTTATGGCTGAGTAATATTCATTGTACATACATACCGTATTTTGTTTTATCCATTCATCTGTTGATGGGCACTTGGGTTGTTTCTACCTTTTTGCTATTGTGACTGATGTTGCAGTAAACACTGGTGTATAAATATCTGTTTGAGACCCTGCCTTCAAGCCTCTTGGGTATATACTTAGGAGTGGAATTGCTGAGCTATGTAGTAATTCTATGTTTAACTTTTCGAGGAATCACCAAACTTTTCCATAGCGGTGCACCATTTTACATTTCCACCAGCAATGAATAAGGGTTCCAGTTTCTCCACATTCATGCCAACACTTGTTAGTTTCTGATTTCTGATAATAGCCATCCTATTGGGTGTGAAGTGATCGATCTCATTGTGGTTTTGATTTACATTTCCTTAACAGAGTAATGCTATTGGGTATCATTTCATGTGCTTATTGGCCATCTGTATTTCTTCTTTGGAGAAATGTCCATTCAAGTCCTTTGCCCATTTTTTAATGTGGTGGTTTATCTTTTTGTTGTTGAGTTGTGGGTGTTCTTTATATATTCTGGATATTAAACCCTTATCAGATACATGGTTCCCAAGTATTTCCTCCCTTTCTGTAGGTTGTCTCTTTAGACAGGGTTTTACAAGGCTCCTGGGTCCAGGGGTTCTTTGTGTGAGTCACAGCTTTCACCGTGGATTCAGTGTGTACCTGAATACTTCGGGGCATGCCCGCTTTCAAACTGATGCTGTCACTGGGAAAGGAGACACTGAGGCCCATCTGTCTGGTTGTTTCCAGGGCCTCAGTAAGAAGACAGGAATCTCTTCAAGCCATCTCCAAGCCCTGTGGATTGGGTACAGCACTGAGGGGCTGTCTGCCGCCCTTGCCTCTCTCAGGAACCTCTACACTCCCAACGTGAAGGTGAGCCACTGTCTCTGAGGGGGAGACACAGCCCCTTTCCCTCTTGCTTGTTTCCTGCACTGAGTAGTGGGAGAGGATGTTGAGGAGGATGTTAATGATGCAGATCACCCAGACTTGAATGCTCTGATATATTACGGGTTCTCTTCTGCAAGTGTAGCTTTTGCTCAGGCAGGAAGATGTGGGTAGTTGGGGGCTGTTTTGTGAACATACGGTTAGCACTCCAGAGTGGATGTGATAAGGAAGCAGTTAATAAAGGAAAACAAAGGTCAGAGAGAGATTTCCAGGGAAGATTGATTTTCGAAGTGTCCTGGGTCACCAATCTGATTGTCTCTCTATGGCTCATAGAAAACAAAGCATTAATGAGTGACATAAAGAGATGAGCACGCAAAGGAGAATACTGTGAAAGGCTTTCATGTACTCATGTGATTATAGAAAGAGTATCAGAATCTGCCCACTGCAAGCTGAGAGCTTCTTAACTCCTTGGCATTGGTCAGTGACTATCATGTTATAGTATTCTCTCATGTCACAGTATTCTGCTGAGCTTTTTAGGGCAGATTGTCCTTCCCATTTAATGCAGTCTAAGCATCGGCAGCATAGAGAGGCCAAGTATCCAGGTAAGACCACAAAGGTTAGCATCTGAGCCTGCTCAGGTCCAGGCCTTTTCAGCCCCAGGCTTGCCTGTGGAAGCTCTGGAGCAGTTTCCAATATGCCACATTGTTCCCTTAAATCATTTCTACAAAAATGACCAGCCCAAGAAGGCTATCCATTGAAGGACAAGGGGAAGCCGTGGCCCAGTGTTTCGGGCATCTGTCTTCCACTTCTTATTTTTGTCCATCAAAAGTAAGAAGGACAACGGGCCACATACCCAGAGATGTAACTGTGAGAGGCACTTCCTGAGGACCTGTGCCTCTCCCCCCTACTGTCCATATGTCTCACCCTCAGCCCCACACCAAGGGTGTCTGTCTAGGTATCTAGGTCTTGCAGAGCACTTGCTGTCTCTGGTTTGATGTGTGCTGTGCCACTTCTCTGTGGTCTCTGGCCTCCTGGTGTGTTTAGAGGTGCAAGGGTGTAAAGAAGCTGACTGAGAGACTGGGCCTTAGGAAGGACCTAGCAGGGTGCCAAGTCCGGAGCTGAGGTCACTGCTGCCAGTGCAAGGCTTTTGTGAGAGTTAGAAAAAGACCATGGCCCAGGTGGGTGCAGATGATGTCTTTGCAAAGATAAAGGTGTCTCCTTCTCCAGGTGGACTCAGCCTGTGTGGGTTCAAGGTTTGATGGACAGAGGGTCCCCTGAGCTGGCACCTCGGTGCAGGGGATGAACTGTGTAACTATACCTGTGAACCCTGTGCTCTCCCTACTAAATGCCTCACTCTCCAGGCTGGTAGGTTTGAGTGCTTGTGTCTCGACTGAATCCTACGTGCAGTTTTTTTATATTTTATATGTATGTTCTATTTATATTTAAGTTATAAATACATTAGGAGCCCTGGTAGCACAGTGGTTAAGTGTTCAGCTGCTAACGGAAAGGTCTGTAGTTCAAATCCACCAGCTGCTTCACAGGAGAAAGATGTGGCAATCTGGTTTCGTAAAGATTACAGACTTGGAAACCCTGTGGGGCAGTTCTATTCTGTGCTATAGGGTCACTATGAGTTGGAACTGACTCAATGACAACAGGTTGGTTTTATTTACATTTAAATTATAAATATGTATTTATGTTTGATTTTTAAAGTTTAGAATTTTTTTTTCTGCGTAAACAAAGCTTTATTGAGCAAAAGTAGCTTGCGAGCGGAGACAGAGGGACAATGCTACGCTAGCCTTTGTCTCCCCGAAGGAAGGATTGACTAGGGCTTATAAAGGTTTTTAGGTGGGAAAAGGTGTCATCTTTATTCATGAAAGATGCAGGGTATGAAGATTAGGTGCACTTGCAAGAGGTAATTCAAGATGGAACCTGTAACAAAGGCTCCTGGGACTGGATGACAGGACTTAATATGGGGTGCCGCGCCTGTGCAGTCCCCCCATGGTGCCGGCTCAATTCCTGATGCGGGTCTGTCAGTCACCTTGCGAATGTCTGCACATGCTCCAGGGACCAGATCGGGCTGGTTCTTCTGAAAAACATCTTATCAAGGAAGTACATTGAGAGCTGGGTGGGTTGTTCTTTCATTATTGTCTGTTCCAAGATAATGGGTTTTGTGTCATTAGTTAAGCACATGTTTTTAGTTCAGGGTCCTTTGCCTAGGGGCTCAGTCCTTTTTTCCCTCCCCTATCTCATTCCTCCCTGAGAGATTTCATACTCATAATTCTTTATGAGGGTGTAGGGGTGGAGGTCTCTTCTATAACTTCTTCAAGCAGACGCTGGGCTGTTGGCCTGCTTAGCAGAGCAGAAATCTCTCCCTATCTGGTCTAAAGTTTTGTTGGGGCTATTGGACTCAGACCTGGGAATGGGCTGGAACCCTTGCATCATCATTAATTTGACTTGGAACTGCTGGAGTCGAGAAGACAAGAACTTAAGCAGTGCTTTGAGCGAGCAGGGACCAAATAAAAGTGGTAGAAGGATAGTTATTGTGGGTCCTAAAAGGGGAAGGAACCAGGTTATGGAAGGTAAATATCCCTTTGATTTGATTCCAGATATTGTAACCCATTTGCGTATGGGCTGTCCTTAGCCACTCAGCTTGTTTAAGGATTCTCTGAGCCCGAAAAAAATTTTTTTTCTTAATTTATAAATTTTTTACAGATAAGGAAACTCAAAACCACCTTTTTGTAGTTAAGGAGAACTTAGCTCCAAAGTCCTGCTATTGATAAAAAGGGAACTCTACTTTCTAGATGAAGTTTTTTAATAAAAAGGTAGAGAAAACTATTTCTTAAGTTTAGATTTCCATTAATGAAGAAGTTAAGAATTTTTGTTTCACTTAGATGTTACAGAAATTAGAGCTAAGGTTACTGGAATAACATCGTTTCATCTTTCATTTCAGCCAAAAGTTTCTCTTTTGGCTTCTCCATACTTAATAAAATTCTGCAGTGATGACAAGGGAAAAAGAAATCAGAATAAAAATGGCAATATCTGTTTTTAGTACTTGAGTGAATTATGGGCACAGAAGTTATTCTTTTCTCTTAATGTGGAGAAAAGTAAATGGAAAACGTCATCCTCTATTGAGTAAGAGTTTTTAAGACAGTAAATTAAAAGGTAGCGTGTAATAATGTAATGAGTTTGACCCTCTTGGGATTATAAATTTTCCTCTGTAACATACTTGAAATCTCTTAAGGGTTATTATTCATCTTTACTTTGTTTTGTAGAACTTCAGTGTCACCTACATCTACCCCATCCCCAAAATTATATCACTTGGCTGTAGAATTTTAAGGCTTTCCATTATCCTTCTGTTTTCTTTTATCATTCAAGAAAAAAAGGTTTTCACAGAACCTTGAACAAATTACAGTAATTTAAAATTATGCGGGCAATTAAGGAACTTTTTTTAGAGAGTATTAAATGTTGTCATACAGGAATGAATGTCATTTTGAGCAATAATTGCAGTTTGCCACTTTGGTAAATTAAAGTGACTTAACTTGCTCAGGAATGATTACTTGGTAGATGGCTTTTAATTTTAGTGGCAAGCCAGTAATTTCTAACAACTTGGTCTCCCTTTACCGGGCCAAGTTATGCCAGCCAGGACCTAGCTGACTCGCTGGGGTCTCTGCCACTGGATACCCAGGCACCCATCCAGCTAGTTGTTTTGTTCACACCATCTCCTAGGACCAGCTGCCAGCCACGGGCTCCCCAAGGCTCTGGATCAGGAAAAATTCAGCTTGTGTGATGTGTCTCTCAGGCTGAAGGCAGGGAGGGAGGAGTACAAAGTTAGAACTGGACTTTGGCCTAATTTCTCCTGGCTGGGAGAATCCAGTCATATCCTGAATCACAATTAGATAATTCACACTTCATAGTGGATGTGCTTAAGTGAGCCTCATATACCTACTAAGAAACTGAATGTCCTGTTTTTGACCGTGCCAGCCGGTACCACTTCTGTTGCGTTGCTTTGCCTCCTCTGTCACCCACCCCTGTATTCCCGTTACCCTCTCTTTTTTTGTTTCCTTGCATTCATTAAATCCAGTAGTTAGTAGATATTATTGCCATTTTCAAGTGTTATCAAAGGAAAGCTTCTGTGGTGATGATCAGAAAATTTCCATGTAGTAGGAAAAAAATTTTCAGGATGAACCATGCAAAACCCCTTCCTTTAACACAGTGCAGTCTTAAACCAGAGCTGCTGCTGTGGCAGTAATTAGCTTTGTGCCCAGAGCTCATCTTTTCCCTACTCTCTCTGAGCCTCGGTTTTCTTGTCTGTAAAACGGAGATAAGAGAAGAGCCCATCTCTTAGAGTCATGGGAAACCCAGTGAGATGGTGTATGTTAAAGTTGTTGGAAAAACACTTGGCATTTATTACACGTTCAAGATGAGTTATTTTTACTAGTGCTTCGCCTCATCTCTGGAAACTGTGCCTCTGCTCTAGGCACCTGAGAATTCCTGAATGTTCTTGCCTGTGGGGAGGAGCTGCCTGCCATGAGGGTGCCAGGTGACTCACGTCTGCCTCACACATGCCTGAGATCTCCTTGCTGCTCTGTGCTGGTTACCTGCGCTGGGCGGGCATGCTTGGTGATGTGGAGGGAGGAGGCCAGACCTCAGGATCTTCCAGGGCTCAAGACCCTGGGCTCTTGTCCCTTCTGAAGACTGTAAAAGGGTATAGCAATAATAGTTAATATTTATTTAGCATTTACTGAATTCTAGGCACTGTGGTAAGTGCTTTATGTATATACACTTTGATTTTTAATCTTCACAGCAACCCAATGAAGTGGAACTGCTTACCTACATTTTTTCAGATGAGGAAGCTGAGGCTTAGGGCAGTTACATAGTTTACCCCAGATTACACAGCTGGAAAGGCAATGGCCCTGCACAAGCCCATGCTCCACATTTGCATTTTTTACCTGATGTGTTTACAGCCTTAGCTGCCACCCAGAATCACCATGGGAGCCAGGCCCCAGCCCCAGTTAAATCAGAGTCTCCAATGCTGGGGCTCAGGCAGTGGAAACTTTTCAAGCTCCCCAGGTGACTTCAATTGCAGCAGGGGTAAGAACAACGGATTACAGGAAGATTCACAAACTGGTAGGGCATTAAATAGTAAAAATACCTGCCGTGTTGCACCAACAAAGGAAATGTTTACCCCCAAGAAGCAGATGAAATGTGAATTGATGACAGACAGTTTTAGGAAAGTCCTGCAGCTAAGCACGTTCCTTCCAGCTAAAGACTTGTAAGATATTAAGCAAGACAGTACTGAAAGTATACCTTCCAACACTGTTACCAAAGAATACCTGTTGGCAGGGGCAAGATAACTGGTAAGCCAAGGTATGCACGGGCGTACTAGTCTTTAGTGCACAATTTCACATTTCAGGGATGTGAAAAACAGGTAAAATTGTGCACTGTAGATTAGTAAGTAAGCCCATGTGCACCTTGCTTATTGGGTAATCTGTCCCTGCGTTGGGCAGAATGGGCTGGAGCATTCCTGTTTTCTTAGGAAGTGCACCTGAAGCACAGAGAGGTTGAGTAATTTTCTGAAAATCACATGGCATGTTAAGAGACTGATCGAAAATGCAGACTGTTTAATCTCTCTGTTTTTTTCCTCTCTCTCTCTTAAGCTAATGGGTCTCAAGAGGGAATGGATTGATGTGGGGAAAGGAGAGGGTAAATGGCTGTCAAAGCCATCCAGGGAATTGACAAACTCTTCCTGCCTTGCCTGTCTCCTTGTGCCAAAGTCTAACGTGCCCCTCAGTGGTGTTATGTGTATTTTGGGAAAACTCACACTCCCCAGTCTTAGAACCAGTTTCTAGGCCTTGATGAAATCCCCAAGTATTTTATTAGCATAATCCTATTCTTTCTATACTGATAGTAGTTACTTGGGAGGAAAAAAAACCAAAAAATTTTATTTAGCACTTACAATTTTAAAATACTTTTGAATCATATTCAATTCCGGAATTTGTCAGAGCGAACCCATGTAGCTCTGTGGAGCCGACTGGGGAAGATTAGGCACTCTGCCTGTTGAACATCGTTGTTGGGATAAGAACACATGTTCTGATTTCTCTTCTCATCAGTATGTTTTCTACCTTTCCGACCACACCTGCTGGCTGACAGTGGGAGGCTGGGCTATTGCTGGCCTGGGTCAGGCTATATGAAGGCCCCCAGTCCCCCGATGGGTGCAGATGAGTGGGTGGGCTTGTCGGTCAGTGGGCTGATGTTGTCAGGGCCTCCTCAGCACTGTGGATAATCTGCCTGTTCTGAAACGTCTGTGACAGTCATCCTGACTGTGCACAGGATTTGACACTTGGGCCATCCCTGTCCCTGGAGAGACTCCTCTGTGAACGTCTGTTTCTTAGAACTAGTGCCTGGTGCCATAGGCTGAGAAGGAAATGAGAGGGGATGGTGAGTGACTGGGATTTGTGTGTGCAAGTGCTTCTGCAGGGCGGGTGGAGGAGGTAACTTATGGTGGGGCGGGGGTTGGTTCTCTGTGACATGATCTGGGAGCCAGTAGGAGGAGGCTGTACCCATTCTCTGGGATCTGTGTCTATGGAGAGCATTCCAGGCAGAGAGAGCTGTAAGGGTAAAGGCCTCGAAGCCAGGGCCTGCTTGGCATGTCACAGTCCAGGCGGCAGAGGAGCCCGGGGGGAAGGGTGCCGGGAGAGACCATCTGAGAGGAAGCTGGAGAGCTGGATCACGTGGGGTTCAAGCCTCAGTGACAGCTGTGGCAGCTTCAGATTTCACGCTGTTGCTTCTGATCCGTCCTTGTGCTGTCTCATGATTCCTGGTCGTATAAATTTTCCACATCTATAAGCTTGTATGGAGCCCTGGTGGCACAGTGGTTAAGCAGCTTCCAACCAAAAAGTCAGTAGTTCGAACCGACCAGCCGCTCCGTGGAAGAAAGATGTGGCAGTCTGCCTCTCTAAAGATTACAGCCTTGGAAACCCTATGGAGCAGTCCTACTCTGTCCTATAGGGTCGTTGTGAGTTGGAATTGACTCAACTGCAACGGGAACGGAATCTGTTTGTAAATATTCTGTCAGCTTCTCTTAGGAACGCACATCATTGAAATACCCTGTATTTTATATTCCTTGCCTTCTGTATCTTTTAATTATCCCTGTGTGGTTCTAGTCAAATGACACAGTGTGTCTTGTGGTTTTCACTCCATGAGCAGTTCGTAGGACCTGCTAAGGTTGTGCTGTGAGGGTGATTGATGGCTGTTAAGGACCATTTCAGAAAACAGTTGAAAGAAACGCAGTGGACACCTTTATAGGTGTTAGAGGAGTGCTGGGGTTTTGTGGTTTTTTTTTAATGATCTGGAGATCTGAAGATAGTATTATTAGTATAGCTGAATTTGTAGATAAAAAACAACTTTCCTTGATAGCTGGGGCCCAAGAGTTTCGTGGGTGATGGACACAGTAACTAGTAGAAAAGCCGATTATTTTCTGGGAGGATTGTTCTGTTGACAATCCAAGGGGCACGTGGACATTTTCATGCTCTGCTTTTTCTGTTAGGAAGACTTTGTAAAGAAAAGAATATTGTTTGTATTTGTGTGAAAGGCAAGACTTCTGCTACTGAAACATCAGTGACCTCTTTGTTAGATTAAACAGGGGTTTTCAAAGCAGCATCAGCATCACCTGGGAGCTTAAAAATGCCCATTCTCTGGCGCCACCCCAGACCTACTGAATCAGAAACTCGGGGGCAGGGCCCAGTAATTTTATGTCTTAACAAGCCCTCCCGGTGATTCTGACACACTCTCTCAAGTTTGAGAACCACTGGATTAAAATGGTTATATGGACAATTGAGGATACTGCCCTTCCCTCAGAAATGTTGTGGAGACTTAGTTACCTGAGAAATTAAAATAATCTTTCTGGGGGTATTATCCAACAGGTGAGCCGTCTCCTGATCTTGGGAGGAGCCAATGTGAACTACAGGACGGAAGTGTTAAACAACGCCCCCATCCTGTGTGTTCAGTCTCACCTTGGTCATGAGGAAGTCGTCACTCTGCTCCTGGAATTTGGCGCCTGCCTGGATGGAATGTCGGAGAATGGCATGACTGCCCTCTGTTATGCGGCAGCTGCTGGCCACATGAAGCTGGTGTGTCTGCTGGCCAAGAAGGGGGCGAGGGTAAGCAGCAGCCAACCCCGCTGGGGGGCAGGGCGGGGAATGTGGTGGGAGGAATATTTCCATGTCATTGCTAGAATTTTTGTTGTGTTTTTTAAATTGTGGTGTATATATATATATATATATATGTAACATAGTATGTGCCGTCTCAACATTCTTCACATGTACAGTTCAGTGACATTAATTGTTTAACCATCATGTTGTATAACCATCACCATTATCTGCCTCCAGATTTTTCCATCACCCCTAACAGAAGCTTAGTGTCCCCTACGCTCATTGCTAGAATTGATATCGTCTTGGCCAGTCGTCCTTTTGTCTCTACTTTGTCTAATTGTAGTGAGCAGAAACTGCAGCATAAACAAAAAGGATAGAGCTATAGGTGTTGGTCGGTTTGTAATGTTGCTTGAAGTGGCCAGCCTTAGGAGAGACGTGGACTATATGCTTTGCTCATAAGCTTTTACTAATATTGCACCATGCTGGGGTGGGGGCAGATTACCAGGGGGACTCGGGGCCACCAGCTGCATGAGGAGGGCCATCCTTTAAAAAGCCTGCAAGGGATGACCTAGAACTTACCACAGAACTGAAGCTAGCACCCCAGTTGGCTGCAAAGATTTTAAATACTTGATTTTTTCCCTAGTCCTTTTCTTGAAGCCCTGGTGGCACAGTGGTTAAGAGCTCAGCTGCTAACCAAAAGGTCAGCAGTTCAAATCCACTAGCCGCTCCTTGGAAACCCTATGAGGCAGTTCTGCTGTGTCTTATAGGGTGCTGTGAGTTGGGATCAACTCGACAGCAACGGGTTTGGTTTTGGTTTTTCGTCCTTTACTTATCCCATTTCAGTTTATGTCTAACTTCTTTAAAAAAATTTTATTGTGGTAAAATATATATAATTTAAAATTTGCCATTTTCACCATTTTTTAGGGTATACTTGAGTGGCATTAAGGACTTTCATAGCATTGTGCAGTATCACCACCATCTATTTCCAAAACTTTCTCATCACCCCAAGCAGAAACTCCATACCCATTAAGCAATAACTGTCCCTTTTCCTTTCTTCCTAGTTCATGTCCTTCTTTTTTAAAATAATTTTTTGTTGTTGTTGAGAATATACACAGCAAAAACATATACCAATTCAAGTTTCCACATGTGCATTTCAGTGACATTGATTATGTTATTCAAATTGTGCAACCATTCTCACCTTTTTTTGAGTTATTCCTCCACCGTTAACATACACTCACTGCCCCATAAGATTCCTGTCTAATATTTCAAGTTGCTGTTTTCGCTTTGATCTCATATAGATAGTTCTTAAAAGAGCGTAATGCTCAAGGCAGACATTCTTTACCAGTTAAGCTAAACTATTATTTGGTTTCAGAAGACTTCAGGAGATATTTTTGGTATAAGGTTTAAAGATTATCTCAGGGCAGTAGTTTCAGGGGTTCATCCACCCTCCTTGGCACCAGAAAGTCTTAGAAGCCCTATACTTGAACATAAGGATATAGGAGCTAGACTGCCTAGATTGGAATCCTTGTTTCTCTACAACCAGGATATTGGCGAGCTGCTGAACCTGTGTGCCTCGGACTTCTCATCTGTCAAATGGGTATAACAGCAGTATGTTCCTCAGGGCTGTTGGTGTGAGCATTTAAAAAATCAATATATTAACATTAATATTTAAAAGTAACTATATGTAATTAAACAAGTTGCTCTGGAACTATAGGGTCGCTATGAGTGGGTATCGACTCGACGGCAGTAGGTGTGTTTGTTTTTTTATCAGTCAATAGTATGAAGCTCACGGTAAGCTGTTTTTAGAAACCCTATCTAGTATGATCCTTAAAAAATAACAATATATCAAATGACAATCTTGGCACCATTTTTTTTTTTTTTAGGTTTACTATAAACTTTTAAAGTAGCCCTGGTAGCACAACGGTTAAGCACTCAGCTGCTAACCAAAAGGTTGGCAGTTCAAACCCGCCAGCCACTCTGTGGGAGAAAAGACCTGGTGATCTGCTCCCTTAAAGATTACACCCTAGGAAACCCTGTGGCACAGTTCTACCCTGTCATAAACAGGGTCACTGTGAGTTGGAACTGACTCAAGGCACACAACAACAACATAAGCTTTTAACTGGAGAAGAGTCCGTTTTGAATAAAAATAGAAATAAACCACTGATAATTGTCTTTCTTTTTAGTTAGGATATTTAAAGTTGAACAAAAATGCTTTAGGCTGATAGCAAGAATGTGAATCTTTTTGTTTTTTTCTCTCAAGATCACAACTTTAGCTCATGAAACAAGGGGAACTTTGCCTTTAAGCCTTCCCAGTGTTCATATTGCCATGCCTCCATTTCCAGACCCAAACTGTCCCTTAGCTTTTGTTCTGAGGCTAGGCCCCTCCCTTTCACTGCTGAGAGCTCTGTAGGAGGTGGGTGGAGGTTATGTGGTGGCTCTTGCAAAGCCTCTGGGTGGGATTGCAGAGCACCCCCAGAATTCCCAAACATGGTTAAGCTGGACCCTCATTTTCTCTTCCAGCCCCAGTATTCCTGGGTTTAAACAGGGAGCAATGGTTTGTCTGACAGCTCTTTGGAGCTTTAGGAGGCTCACAACATGTAGATACTCGCCTTTATTGATGGTGACCTTCCCTGGTTTTATTACTGGGTGGAAACCGCAGGTTCTTACTCAGCATGACTCGTACTGGCCAATAAATGGGAGGCCGAGGTGGGAGAACAAGACAGACACCTTTATTTCGTTGTATGAGGAAATGGAGTCACTTGGAGCTGCCGCTGTCAAGACTGCTTGCCAAGGGCAGGCAGGCCAGTTACTTTTAAAGGGGTTTACAAGCATGGAGTTCATACAAATTAGATTAGCAACATTCTTAATCATACTACACAGGCACAATGGGGTTTACATAAAAGCAGAGTTCAAATGGCAAAGTTAGGGGGAGGAAGCCAAGCCAAGAAAATAGGATTTTTAATACGGTACTGTGGGGGCTGTCTCAGTTTTGTGGCCCCAGTTTACGTACTCAATTCCATTTGCCTGTCTACATGTGGCTTCTAATCAGATACCCCTAAGACCCCTTCCTGCCCTTCCTCATGCAGAGTGGAGTGTTGTAGGCCCTTCTCTTCCTCTGGCTCCCCTGGCTCCATGACCTAAGAACTGTACTACTCTCCCAAATCGTAGCTTGTCACAGCATATTTAGAATGTTCTTCCCAAACAGTCCAAGCTGGGAAGCATCGGGCTTTGTCTGAGGTTTTGGTCTGCATCCTCATCTATGTTTGCCAGAGAACTTGGGAGTTCCTGTGGTTTGCTGGAGGGACATAGGGAGTGAAAAGAGTTTTGTGTGATGGCTAGTTCTACAGAGGGAACCCAAGGCTGGGAACTGTATTACATTACAGTGAAGTAACGCAGAAAAAGGTTTGGAACTCAAGAAAGATTTGATGGAAAAAAGGTCCTCCAAGGTCAAGAAGGGAGAGTGTTGACATGTCGTGGGGTTGTTAACCAATGTCATAAAACGATATGTATACTGACTGTTTAATGAGAAACTATTTGTTCTGTAAACCTTCATCTAAAGTACAATTAAAAAAAAAAAAAGATTTGATGAATGAGCGTGAAGCCTGTGTACATTTGCAGTGGGATGGGATTTGCACACAATATTTGTGGTCAATCCGTGTTGTCAGAGGAAAGATGATGCTAAACTGTGACCTTTCCTGCTTCTGTCCCCAGGTGGACCACTTGGATAAGAAAGGCCAGTGTGCGCTTGTGCACAGCGCATTGAGGGGCCACAGCGACATTCTCCGTTACCTGCTGACCTGCGAGTGGTCGGAGGGGCCCCAGCAGCCAGGCACACTGAGAAAGAGCCAAGCCCTGCAGCAGGCGCTGACGGCAGCTGCCAGCATGGGCCACAGCTCGGTGAGTGGGTGCAGGGAGGGTCCCTTTTGGGAAACTAGAGGCTGTAGCCCAGGTGGATCGGTTGCATTTGCCAGTTGCCTACTTCTGAGTTGTGAGCCTGTGAGACACTGAAGACGTATTTCAAGACATAGTGATCGGTTTTAATCACATGTGGTCTTCTATTGAGAAGACAAGTGGAGCCTCCATACTCTTTATTCTCTACTCTTCCTCATCTTTCTCTCTTCCTCCCCTATTCTGCTTTTACCTTCTAACCCTGCTGTTTTACATTTTTTACCCTTTGATTTGTTCTTTTGCCTTTGTGATCTTTTAAAAATAATCCTATGGAATCCTAGTTCTAAAATCATTCTCGAGTATTTGAAGGATTTTTAAAAATAGAACTTTAATGCTTTGATAGCATGTAAGAATGCTCGTCATCTGCAGTTCCTAGATGGAGGGAGAATTTCATGCAGTACTTAAATAGAGTGTTTATTTCTGGTAGATGTCGGCGCGCCTCAGCTTGAAAATTGACTTGTCACCTCCGGACTGGTGTGTCTTAGCTTTATCTGTGAAGTAAAGAGTGTTTTACCCTCTCTCTTCCATGTATTTTTCACTCTGTGTTATCTTCAAGGAATTAGAGGTGCCAGTATTTGATAAAAAAATGACTTAAAACAAATTTGGTTGCAAAGCTGGCTCACTGACTTTTGTTTTTTAAAAGACAGGACAGACAGACACACAACTCGCACCACACATACACACACAGACACATGCACAGCTTGCTGGCTAATTTTTGGCATTTAAAACATTAAAAACACACATGCGTACGTACTCAGTGTATTAAATATACATACCTAAAAATGTAGATGTTTCTTTTTGAACCATTGCCTAAATCTGAGAGGGTCCAGAACGCAGAAAATCATCAGAGAGGACAGTGAATGCCGCATGTAGATGTGACTCTTGTCTCCACTCATGTCACCCTTGTTTTCTAAAGCTGGCTGGGAGGAATTCTGTGCAAAAGACAATCTCAGCACAGCCACTGTCTGTTTCATGAAAAAGGATAGGATTCATTCTCCAAAAGACTTGAAGGGTATATAAGTTTCCTCTTGCTGCTGTAACAAATTACTACAAACTTAGTGGCTTAAAACAACATAAATTTATTATCTTACAGTTCTAGAGGTCAGAAGGCCAAAATTAAGGTGTCAGCAGGCCAGTGCTCCATGTGGAGGCTCTAGGGGACATTCCATTTCCTTGCCTTGTCCAGCTTCTAGAGGCTGCCTGCATCCCTTGGTTCACGTTCCTCTTCCATTTTCAGAGCACGTCACTTCAGTCTTTGCTTCCATCGTACCCGTCTCCTTCTTCCTCTGACCTTGACTCCTCCTGCATCCTTTTCATAAGGACTGTTTTGATTATATCAGGCCCACCTAGATAATCCAGGATAATCTCCCCATTCCTAAAATCCTTAATCATATCTGCAAATGCGTTTGTGCCATATAAAGGAACATTCACAGGTTCTGGGTATTAGGACTTGGACATATCTGGGGGCCATCATTCAGACTACCACAAAGGGTATGGATCTGAGACTTGAGGATGAGCCAAAGATGGCTTCATCTTGCTGTCCAGTTGCTGCCATTACTCAAGGTGAACACTGGGCCCTGGTTCAGGGCTTGGATGTTTCCAATGCTTCCATTTCCCTAAGAGGCATTGTTCCTGCCTCCACACCTGTGACCCAGCCTGCTCTTGGGTGAGGAAGATTCCCATAGAGAGAAGAAGAGTAGTGCTGTCTGTAAAAAAAAAAAAAAAAAAAATTTTTTTTGACATTTTATCTTGTTGAAAAGGTATACTTCACCTTGTTCTTCTCCCTTGTGAAAAATGGATGCACCATCTTTTGGAGATTTATGCAGCAACTGTACTTTGTATGATCCACCATGTCCTTTGTTGATTAGGCTGGCAGATTTGGGGCATGTTAGAATTCATTAGAATTCTGAATACTTAGTAATCCTGTGCAGTGTGACTGAAATTCACTGAGATTATGATTTTATAAAAAAATTCTTCTCAAAGTGAACGTGTGAATAGCATACGAATTATGTTTGAAAATGGTTTTCATTATATTTTCTCTCTTTGTGTAGCATGAGATAATAAAACACTTTCTCCTTTGATACATGGGATATAATAAGCGCATATTGCTATAAGAACTCATTAAATTACCTTGCCACTTCTGACAGGTGGTCCAGTGCTTGCTGGGAATGGAAAAGGAACATGAAATAGAAGTCAATGGCACCGACACATTGTGGGGAGAAACAGGTAATTATGGTTCCCCTGCTTGTAATCTGGGGCAGCTTTCTTGATGTTTTAACCCCCATTTTGGCCTAATTGTTTTAAGAATGACTTGTGATGTGTGTAGTCCTATTTTTATTTTATTGCAAGGCTTTTGAAGTTCAGAGCTTTTTAAACTTTCCAAATGAGTAGTAAAACTTTGCTAGCAGCATATAAAATTTGAATCACTTTCAGACTAGCAGTTACTGTGCATCTGATGAATGTCAGATGGAAATACCTAAATAAGGTGGCACTTTGTGGTATGCGAAGTCTTCACAGATTTTAATCAACCTTATCTTCTTCCTATGAGCCCTGCATAGGGAGCAGGGCAGGAACATCTGCCCTGTTTTCAGATGGATAAAAGATGGCTCAGTCAGGAAGGCTGTGGTCTGCCCTGCCTTACAGAACAGTTACAGGGAGCGTGACTAGAGCTCAGGCCTCCTTAAAATACCAAAAACAAGATAGAAAGATTTAAGATTCAAAGTCCATTTCCATTGATATGGAGAGGGGTCGTGTTTAAAGTGTGGGGAGAGAGCTTGAGGGGAGTTCATTTTAATGAAGATTTGAGTTAGTTACTTGTCAGGTTAACATGGTAATGCTGCTTTGAATATTTCCTTTTGACTGAATTGATATTAAAATACAAGGATTTAAATTATGACTTGTTAGTTGAACTATTGTTTTTAAATAGATGTACCCAAGAGTGTTTAATATGCCTTTCCAGGCTATGTTCTGTGTGCGTGTAAATGGCGTATATGATTTCCATTTCCCTTGCACAGATCTTACGTCCAGATTATTTCCTAACAAGCCAAATGGTGGTGTGTTGAGTTTATTACCTAATTCAGCTTCACTTAGGAGAAGCATCATAGGTTTTCCTGGCAAGGCCCTGTGGGGCCCCAGCCATTTGTGTGGCTCTCCATTGCTCCTTGTGGTGCCGCCTGAGAGGGCCCCATTACAGAGAAAGTGCAGGATCCCAAGTGGAGTTGGATTATGCTTGGGGTAAAAGTGTATTGATTTAAATATTCCCATTAATTCTTTACGGAGTTCCTACTCCACCCTTTTAAGTAGTACAGGATGCTCTATAATTTGGTGAAGAAAAGTTTCTACCAAATTGCACATTATGTTGTAGGCAGCTGTACATAAGAGCATGGCTTTGCTGACAGCAAGAAAGTTCCATTCTCTTCTCTCTCATTGCCTCGTTTAGGGGCCTTGGACTCCATTTGCCTCCTCTGTGAAATGAGTCAAATAATGCTTGCTAGGGTTGTGATGAAGGGTAAATGAGATAAAGCAGTCTGCTTGAATGTACCCACCAGTAAGAATCCCCTGGGGCATTTACGAGGCCTAGGATGAGCCCGGGACTCTGTTTTTCTATCGAACATCCCAAGTCATATCAGGTGATTCCTGGCTGCAGGTAAAATAGAGAACCTCTGCAGAGAAACGTCTAAAGTGCCTGACCCGTAATGAGCACTCAAGAGGTGCACGTGATGCTGCCGCTGACCATTCATGCTAGTTGTAGGAATTCACACGCTTATTGGGAATCCTTAACCTTTAAAAGTTCCTGGATAGTGCTGACATTTAAGTCGCTTGGCTGTTAACTGAGAGGTTGGAAGTTTGAGTCCACCGAGAGGCGGGTTGGAAGAAAGCCCTGGAGATCTACTTTCAAAAAATCTGCCATTGAAAACCCAGTGGAGTAAGCACTGTTTCACCCTGACACATATGGGCCACCATGAGTTGGGTCGACTGGATGGCAACTGAGTTAACCTTTAATATTCAAGGTAGTTTGGTTTTCTGGAAGAGAAAAATTCAGGGAAGGGCTGCACTTGAGGACTCAGTGTGAGCTATCTCTTGTCTCACGATAAGTAGTCCTGAACTTTAGCTTTCTTCCTTGAGCATCTGCCAAGCGGACACGTGAGATAAACTACAGACTTCCCATTAACCACCACTACCTACTGCTTTCGAGTCGATTTCAACCCATAGTGACCCTACAGGACAGAGTAGACCTGCCCCATAGGGTCTCTAAGGCTGTAATCTTTTCATTTTATTTTATTTTACTTTATTGTTGTGCTTTTAAGTGAAAGTTTACAATTCAAGTTAGTCTCTCATACAAAAATTTATACATACATTGTTATGTGACCCTAATTGCTCTCCCTGTACTGTGACAGGAAGCACACTCTTCCTTTCCACCCCGGATTTCCTGTGTCCATTCAACCAGCTCCTGACCCTCTCTGTCTTCTCATCTCACCTCTGGACAGGAGCTGCCCATTCAATCTCATCTATCTACTTGAGCTAAGAAGCACAGTCTTCACGAGTATCATTTTGTATCGCATAGTCCAGTCTAACCTTTGTCTGAAGAGTTGGCCTCAGGAATGGTTTTAGTGCTGGGTTGATAGAGGGTCTGGGGTTCTTCCAGTCTCAGACCGTTAAGTCTGGTCTCTTTACTAGAATTTGAGTTCTGCACCCCACTTTTTTCCTGCTCCTTCAGGGACTCTCTGTTGTGTTCCCTGTCAGGGCAGTCCAAGGTTGTGATCTTTATGGAAGCAGACTGCCACATCTTTCTCCTGTGGAGTGGCTGGTGGGTTTGAACCGCCAACCTTTCAGTTAGCAGCTGAGCGCTTTAACCACTGCACTACCAGAGCTCGTTAGACTTCCCATTAGTCTTAATTAAAAGATAAGTTGTATTTTAGCCTGTCCCTTCCAAAGCCTCATGCATAACCTTCAGACCACTTTCTCAGCCTAAGAAGCTGTTTACACCCTTCCTTAGCAGGCATTGGGGTGAATTTAGTCAGCCAGGAGTTCTTTGAGAGCCTTTTTTTGTTTAAATCAAGAAAAAGCCAGCTAAGCACTATCTCAGACTTACAGAGCCATGGCAGCTGTCTATAACTGGGTGTCAATAAAACCAGTCTTGCCACCTATGCACATTTTTTGATTTAGTACCTTTTTCTCCTGTGTTTCTTAAAAAATGACTGCCATTGTCTACTACCCCACACTCTCCTGCTTTGCAGGTCTGTGTTTGTCAAAGGAATACCGTGAAATCTTGGAATATTTTACATGAGAGAACATCTGGACATGTGGGGGCTTTCCACAATGTGTACTGCATTGTCCATAATGTGAGGTCTGTGTTTGAGATTCAGCCATGTGGAGCCCACAGAGGTTCCTGGCCAGTGAACCTGAACGTGGGAATGTTGGCCCACAAGCAGACGGGGCAGCCTGCTGAAACCATCAGGCCATGATCGAATGAGTTACTTTATAGTCCTTCTTCTCATGAATTCTCATCTTCAGGCAGCAAACCCTGGAGCTTCCCCAGCATGTGGGTGCAGGGCAGTGTGCATTGTTTTTAACTGTTTTAATAGCAGTTGTTTTGCTTCCTGGTTTTGTTTGGTCTTCATTCCTGTGTGTGGTCAGTGGTGCTTTGTATCCAAAGCACTCCAGAGTGGGCCTTGCCTGTCTTCTTCCCGGATTCTTGCCTGTGGTGTGGGAAGATGCCAGAGCAACGGGAAGCTTTGTGTGGATAATGCATTTCATTATTTCTCTTTGAACCCTTGTATAACTTTATACTTGTCTGTTCAGTATAGAGTTAGCTACAAACAGCCTGGCTTTAAAATAGGAGCCGATGGGTTACAAGTCAGGGTCTCTGAGGCCTATTTTTGACTCCCCTGCCCGTCTTTGTTTTCCTAGCAGTGACCCTGCTCTGTTTATAGCACAGCTACCTGCCTGCCTCTTTTCTCCCTCATAGCCACGGACCGGAAGTGGGGGCACTAAATGCACGCACAAAGTATTTCTCCACTTTACCTCTGGGAGAGGCCCTTGGAATCTCTGTGTATCTACTCTGTACAATTCCAAAAGGCAGTTTTCATGTTTGTTGCTGATTGGAAGTAGCAGGTTGTCAGTGAGAGGTGGATGCTAGTGGCAGCCAGGGAGGAGGGAGAGCAGAAGCAGCTGAGCAAGCTGAGGTTCCTTATCTCCCAGACCATCGGTGTGGGGATGGGCAGTCCTGCTCCCTCAGTGCACTGGGCATCTTGCTGCTGATGACTGTATTACTGCCGAGGGCACGGAGGCCCTCCAGACTGAATGGGTCCTTGTCTTTCTCTTGTAAGAATACACAGAGGAGATAAATCTTGGGTTCAGCTCTAACAGGTTTATTTCACTTGCGACAAGTAAAAGAAGTCAGTGGGGGCTCATGTCTTTCCAAAAGACTGACTCAAAGGGGAAAGCAAGACTAGGGCTTATATGAGTTTGGTGATAATACAGCAATGAATATTCAGTAGGTTTCTTTGAAGGGGCGGGTACTTCTTGGAATGGCGGTGCATACTAATTAGGTTGTGCACGCATCTGGAATCCAAGATGGAACCCGCTGATATTCAAGATGGAGTCCCCTTGGCATCACTTATTATGGGATATGGTGCACTGATCTTCTGCACTACTTTGCCCCCTTCAGTGGGCCAAAACAGTGGTCACACGTTGTTCTTCTGCAGAGCCTGTAAGAAGGGGAGAGGGACTAGAAAAACACTAAGGAGGAAGTAGTAATTCATGAGTTATTCTAACCTTATTTTATATTGACAGGATGTGGTTCCTGTTTACCCAGCTTCTAGGTGGTAGTCTTTTAACAGTCTTTTATTCCGGCAGAACAGCTAACCCTATATGTCTCAAGCAGACTCGTCAAAAAAGAGGACGGTGCTTCTCCTAGGTTGAAAGAGACAAACAAGCATAAAATCGACTTTTAAGACATTCATCTAAAATGGTTACAGTGTTTAGTTTGGGGGTTTGTTGCAGTAAACCCACAGCCTTTAGAAAACTTGGGGAGTTGCTAGCACTTTACTGGTTTTATCGGTTATGGCAAGCAGAGGGCTTAATGTACATAAGTTTCCCTTTTCACCAGCAGTTGGGGTCATTTGTTTTCCTTGTCTGCTTGATGTGGCAAGCCCAGCCCTTCAGACATCAGATGCATAGTTCCTGTCGCCGTTCTCCTCCTACTGTTGTTGTCAGCTGCCGTT